TTTTTCAGACCTTTTAGAACAAAATAAACAACACTAAGTAAAAGTATACCAGAGAGTCTGTTGTAACGTTTTTTTGTTAAGCCTTTATTACAGCAAAGACTAAAAACAGTCGCATTTATTTGTGAATGCAATTTCCGAAATAGTAGGATTTATTTATTGTTTAAGTTAATTATTCAAGGCTCACTTTATTTTAAAACAAAAATGCTAGATTGCATTTCAAATCATGAATGAATTGTATGCTGTGTGATGACATGAATGAATGAATGATTGATTGATACAGTAGCCTATATAAGTATGGAAATATAGGCCTAAGTTACGGTATTAAGACTTAACAGGATGTGCTCTTAGGCCTACAGCTCAATGGTGGTTATACAAGGCTGCTATACTAAGCATACAAATTATAATGGAATTACTTATTATAATGATAATAATAATAGTAATAATAACAATAAGAAGGCGATCAAGAAAAAGGTGCGTTATTTTTATAAAAATTTTCCTTGCAATTTGGGTACAGTGTAAATACTAAATAAATTATAAATAATACCAGAGGCTGTTCTAACGGAAAAAAAAGTGTAAAGCCTTTATTACAGCAAAGCAAAGATTAAAAACAGCCGAATTTGTGAAATTGTTTAGTTGACATGTCGTTGCGTGAGGCTTGGTGCTCACGGAAACAGTAGGCTATTGAACAAACAATCAAACAGGCAAAAGAAGCAGGATCTGTCTTATGTCTGTAGAAATGATGACTTATAAAGCCAGGCACATTTAACAGCTAGGTTATTGTCAGGCTGTCAGTGTGATGCGGTAGGACGAAGTCAGGCGCAGGACACAGAGCTAATCGAAAACTTACTTTACTCGTAGTAAACGTAAAGAACATAACCTCCACGCAGGAAGGAACAAACCCGCTCACCAGACGACAACCATACAATAACAAACACGCACAAAACACAGTGGGAGCCAGAGGGTTAAATAGGGAAGAAATCTATACATAATGGGAAACAGGTGTGAACAATCAGACAAAACAAGTAGAACATAGAAACATGGATCGGTAGCAGCTAGTACTCCGGTGACGACGAACGCCGAAGCCTGCCCAAGCAAGGAGGAGGAGCAGCCTCGGCTGAATCCGTGACAGTTATTGATTATAGATTAATTAAGTGCGGGTTTCCTCTCTCCTCACTTTCCTTAGACAATAAGGCAAGGGCTGTTTTCTCATCTCCTCATTCTTCTGCTGCCTCCGCGGCATTATTCTTAACACCAATATGCTGGTTAACTTTGCTATTATGCACATAGCAACATGGTCTAGGATAAGGCGCCAATTCAACAGTGCACTGATGTGTTTCAGAACCGTGGGCAGCGACCGCTATCCAACGAGGGCGAAAGCGTGTTTGTTATAAAATAGTATTATTTTTATTAGCGTTGCACCATTGTTCTTGTGTAATATAACCATATACAATTTCAGTAGCACATGTCTTAGACTGATGGACTGTGCCATCCCAATGGCCTCCACAATGGATTAATCCACTCAGACAGCCGCGAATCAGACAGGTGTCTTGTACACCATGATATATAGATATACAGTACCAGTCAAAAGTTTGGACACATTGCAGAATAATAGTGAAGACATCAAAACTATGAAAAAACACATATGTTAACCAAAAAAGTGTTAAACAAATATTTTATATTTGAGATTCTTCAAATAGCCACCCTTTGTCTTGATCACAGCTTTGCACACTCTTGGCATTCTCTCAACCAGCTTCACCTGGAATGCTTTTCCAACAGTCTTGAAGGAGTTCCCACATATGCTGAGCACTTGTTGGCTGCTTTTCCTTCACTCTGCGGTCTGACTCATCCCAAACCATCTCAATTGGGTTGAGTTCGGGGGATTGTGGAGGCCAGGTCATCTGATGCAGCACTCCATCACTCTCCTTCTTGGTCAAATAGCCCTTACACAGCCTGGAGGTGTGTTGGGTCATTGTCCTGTTGAAAAACAAATGATAGTCCCACTAAGCTCAAACCAGATGGGATGGCGTATCGCTGTGGTAGCCATGCTGGTTAAGTGTCCCTTGAATTCTAAACATATCACAGACATTGTCACCAGCAAAGCACCCCCACACCATAACATCTCCTCCTCCATGCTTTACAGTGGGAACTACACATGCAGAGATCATCCGTTCACCCATACCGAGTCTCACAAAGACACGGCAGTTGGAACCAAAAATCTCCAATTTGGACTCCAGACCAAAGGACACATTTCCACCGGTCTAATGTCCATTGCTCATGTTTCTTGGCACCAAGCAAGTCTCTTCTTATTATTGGTGTCCTTTAGTAGTGATTTCTTTGCAGCAATTCGACCATGGAGGCCTGATTCACGCAGATGCTATAATGGCACAGATACCAAGATGAGTCCTCTATCTATCTCTATGGTACAACCAGAAATAGTTGTTGAGAAGCACGGTTGATGAGGCTCTGTCCAGTGTTTCCCAACCTTGGTCATTGAGTACCCCCAACAGTACACAGTTTTGTTGTAGCCCTTGACAAACACACCTCATTCAACTAATTGAGGGCTTAATGATTAATTGACAAGTTTAATCAGGTATGCTTGTCCAGGGTTACATAAAAAATGTGTACTGTTGGGGTACTCGAGGACCTGGGTTGGGAAACACTGCTTTAGGCTGTAGCTAGGAGACCACTGTGACTGACAAGTGAATCCACCTGTCACAGCGAGCGTGGGGGTTACCACGTGAAATCTCAGGGACAGGATTTGATTCACTAGACAACAGTGTTGGGGGTAATGTTACATAATCAGATTTTATGAGTAGCGGAGTAAAGTAACGCGTTACCTTTTCAAATTGGGTAATATTATTATAGTTACTTTGTCAACTAAAGCGTGCTTTACTTTCAGAATCATATCTCTATGTGTGTTTGCATGATCCGATCTCCACTTCTTTCCTCATTTAGTTCTCCAGCGAGCGGAGAAAGGCTGGTTGAAGAAATGTTGACAACTGATCCCTTCTGTGATAGCATAGCTCATTGAGGGCTTTCCCGTCTAGTGGCAAGTGTGTAGCCTATGTGCGGTCTTTAACCAGAACTGGCGGCTTGAGAGAAAGATTTTGAATGAAAAGATAGGATATCTATACAGATGTCTGGCTTACAGTATGGCTAATTAACCAGCCCATATTATAGTGCAGCACTTGTAGGGACAGAGGCAAACTGTGGTGACGTACTATCTCAACTTGTCCAATAAGAAATGCCTGTTTTCTTTTTCATTGCAAATTTTTTTTATATGTATTTCTATGACGTGAACTAATACGTCTGGTAAACACGTTCAGTGCTGCTGCTTTGAAAGTGGTGTGGCGGCGCTACACCAGATTGAAAAGTACTAGGGGCAAATGCTGTCTCGCCACATGTTTTCTGGCGGCTCTGTCTCAAAGTGAATTTTAACAATTTTATGCATTTAGTTTTTAGTGGATGTAGGCAATTTTGCCATGTCCCCAGGTGCTATTTATCAATTTCCATGAGAAATATAAGCCATTAAATAGTAAAGTATTCAAAATCTTTCTTAATTATTTTATAATCCTACTTAAAATATCTCTCATCAATACAGGTGAATATATTGATAAAAGTCACCTTGTCCTAGAGAGATTTAAACGGTTACCAAACATCACACCAGGGTAAGCCTACACAAAACACAGCCCTTATTTTAAGTGTTTCTAAAATCCCCTATGGGAAAAAATTAATGGTGGAAAAGACGATTGAAACCATTTCCTTGTTTGAAGGCTAGGTTTTATGGGTATTATGACTCATACTGTGGTACTCTATAGGGAGCAGCTGTTGCTTCTCAAGGTATCTCTACCTGAACATATATGATCTAACTGATTGATAGTTGGTATTCAGCAGTCCTAAAAGTATGCCTTATTTACTCAGCACTAGTCCCTAACAGGTTGGAAATATGTCATGGTCCATTTGTGAACAATCCACCTATAATTATTAGGATTTAAGTGCCTGAGCTTGACCACCATGTTTTTCTGAAAGTCAAACATGTTCTTTTTCTGATAGAAAAAAATATATATATATAAATGAGGTCCACGCATGATAGGTATCACCCAGCAGTCTTAATGCTGCTTTGTAACTGATCCCCCCTGCTGGTATATTATAGAACTCCAGCATATTGGACACATTCACATTCCCCAGTATGAAAACTGTTGTTGACTATGTTTATATATCTCCTCATTTTGCATAATATCATAATACTAGATTTTATTATGGGACCATATCAAATATATTAATATCAGTCCCAACTCGGGTACATCAAATCATCAAAATTAGCTACAAATTCCTGGCAACTGAAACTTGTACGTCACATTTTTTGTATAAAGAGAGATTTTTGTGACTATAAATTCTTTATGTTTTTAAGACTTCAGAACTTTTATTTGCCCAGGAGGAACGTTTACAGAGATAGAGAGACACTTTACATTGGCAGCACATGCTTCAGTGCTCTGGGAGTGTTTATAGCCCCTTCAGTTTGATCACCATCTTCTTACACACAAGGTGAGAGGTGAGAGAATATGTTTTGTATGCTATAAGCAACATGTAAACTTCTAATCTTGAAAATATCTTATCATCCTATATGTGATATCATCAACAGCACAGTCAGGCATCAGATTGCTATATCATATGATGTGGTCACCTGAAATGTTAGTTTCCGATTTCTGTCCCCTAGTTTAGATAGCTCAGTTGATAGGATAATTATTCGGGACAGGTAACACCAGGATTTTGATTCCCGTCTGAGCAATATGTACTGAATACAGTATGTGTTAACTGTAAAAGTACCAGCAAACATCCTTATACAGTTCTCAACTCACAAAAGGAATAAGAACAGGGAAATGAATTTGTTTGATAGCACTGGGGCATAAAGCAATTTACAGTTCATGTGACTGTGAATCAAGCCATAAAGTGGTTAAGACACAGTGGTGGACTTGGAGCTTGGAGTTGGAACTTGGAGACAAGCCATGACAATGAAGAACACAAACCCACACACACACACACAAACCTCAACCTGTATTGCTAGGGTGCAAAGTTCAGTGCAGGACTCAAGCAGAAGGATTTTACATTGACACTGATATTCTAAACTGCTAATCATACAGGCGTTGTGCGATGTGATTTCCTAAAAATGGCTTCCATAGTCTCTCTCCCAGAGGAGGATCTCTCCTGTTCTGTGTGCCGTGACATCTTCAGGGACCCGGTCATCCTGTCGTGTAGACACAGTATCTGTAAAGTCTGCTTGTTGGAACTGTGGAAACATAAGGACGTGCTGGAATGCCCTCTCTGTAGAAGAAGATCATCGCTGGAGCTTCCATTTGATCTGAATCTGAAGAGGCAGTGTGAGGCTGTCTTACAGGAGAGGGGTCGGGAAGATACAACTGAGTCTGAGGTGCTCTGCAGTCTGCATAGCGAGAAGCTAAAGCTCTTCTGTCTAGAGGATAAACAGCCACTGTGTTTAAAGTGTAAGGCCTTAAAAAAACACACCAACCACAGCTTTTGTCAGATAGATAAAGCTGCCGAGAATTATAAGGTATGAAAAAAATAACATTGTAATGATTATATTATTTGTTACTTAGATGGTTTAAGCTGGTCACTGGTGGGTAATTGTGTTGTTGGGGAAACTGCATTGATAGAAACGTTTTTTTAAAGGTGTACGATTTTATATTTTCAAGTTTGTATTTGAGGTCAGAAAGTTCAAAGGTCCATTTCATGAAAATGTGTAAAACAAGTTGTCCGTGTTTCATGTGGGTATTTCAAAAATAGCTCACTACAACCACTACCAATTTTAGGAGAAACTCCAGACTGCACTAAAACCCTTACATGGAAACCTGAAGGCCTTTAACAAAGTTATACAATCCTGTGATCAAACAGCAGAGAATATTAAGGTAAGAATGCTGAGTAATGTAACAATGTTAAAGTACAGTAACCTACCCCTTCACATAAACTCTGTGGTCTATCAAATATTCCTCTTACTGTCTCCAGAGCCAGGCTCAGCACACAGAGAAGCAGATTAAGAAGGAGTTTGAAAAGCTTCATCAGTTTCTAAGAGATGAAGAGGCAGAGAGTATAGCTGCACTGTGGGAGGAAGAGGAGCAGAAGAGTAAGATGGTGAAGGAGAAGATTGAAGAGATGTGCAGAGAGATATCATCACTTTCAGACACAATCAGAGCCATAGAGGAGGAGTTGAGAGCTGAAGACATCCCATTCTTGCAGGTAAGAACTAATATCCATGTATACATTATTTGTGATACTTGATTAACTAAATTGATCTCATTGATTTTAGTGATTACATTGATTGGTAATTTGCTATTTTGTTTTTTTTCTACAGAACTACAAGGCCACAGTGAAAAGGTAAGTTAGTTGTGTCCTGTCTCTATCTTCTCTGTGGTTCTGAACCCAACCCCACAGCATCAATGACTCCTAAATGTTTTCCAGAACCCAGTACACAGTGCCGGATCCAGAGAGGGTTTCAGGTCCACTGATCAATGTGGCAAAGCACCTGGGCAACCTGCAGTTCAAAGTCTGGGAGAAGATGCAGGAGATTGTTCAATATAGTAAGTAATTAAACAATAACATTTTGGCCCAATGAACACAACTTCTATAAGACTTTGGCCAGGATTCAAATCAAAGATAAAAACAGATAAACAAATCAAAGATAAAAACAGATAAACAAAGTATCTCTCTCTGTGAATCCTGATGCATTACTATATTCGAATGGGTCAACGTTTCCAAATGTTTACAAGCTAGAGGGCGCTGTGGTGTTATTTAAAATGTAAAAAAAACATTGAAAGCAGAAACCCAGCCCTTGTCAATTTTAATCTGTAGTTGTAATCTAATCTCTATGTTCAGCTTCTGTGACTCTGGACCCTAATACTGCCCACCCACGTCTATGCCTGTCTGAAGATCTGACCAGTGTGAGAGACAGTGATCCTATACAGTCGCTTCCTGTCAACCCAGAGAGGTTTGATCACCTTCAGTTTGTCCTGGCCTCTGAGGGATTTAACTCAGGGACACACAGCTGGCTTGTTGAGGTTGGGGAGAGTGAAAACTGGACCATAGGTGTGATCACAGACTCTGTCCAGAGGTCTGGATTGATAAAGAGTGGATACTGGAGTGTTGGATATTATGAAGGTAAATACTGGGCATTATTCCCACCTGATCCACCCACTGATATCACATTGATACAGAAACCTAAGAGGATCAGAGTGCATCTGGACTGGGACAGAGGAAAGCTGTCATTCTCTGACCCTGATAATAACACACGTCTACACACGTTCACACAACATTTTACAGAGAGAGTCTCTCCATTTATTGGTAATTACTGTGAACTCCACTCTCTAAAGATCTTACCACTGAAGGTCTCTGTAACAGTGGTTTAGCACAGTTAGTTGGTACTGCTTCCGTCTAAATCAGTGATCAAATTCACTACATGTAATCAATCTAATTACTATAGAGAAATAATGTTTTCAATGGAATGGACCATTCCTTTACATGGGCCTATTGAGAATCAATACTGATGTTTTTGGCCTATTTGCATATTTGCCACCTTTAATTTCTAATAAACTGACTGAATTCACTCTCATGTGTGCATTCTTTCAGCTACTGTTGTCAATGATTCAAGCAAACATTTTTAACAGCTTAGTCTGTCATAACATCATATATTTGATCAGGAGTTTAGGAGCTTCTCCAGACCTCTGATGGTACCAGGTAATACTGTGAGCCAGAGTACTGACTAACTTTACTACTGGCGCTACAGTCAATAGAGACAGTTTGACCAGGCTGGACTGACTGAGCTGCAGACTGAGTCAATACATACTGACCCCAAGACCCTGCAGAGAGAGAAGGACTGATGCAAAGCTGCTCTCTATGGAGATATATCAACATAGTCCACATCAATTTTCATACTGTTGAAAGTTCAATGTCTGACATGTTCTGAAATGTTGTTGCATAGATCTAGAGAGTGTTTTTCCATTGTGCTCACTGTTCAAATACCTGTCAAGATTTTGACATACAATGAGGCAACTTCACAAGTATGACAAAATAGTCCAACACTTAATGGGAAGTTGGAGCGCCTCTGAACCAAATCAGAAGTACATGCACTGTAGGATAAATAAATAAAATATTTATAATAAAATATATTTATTTATGCATGGGAACGCTGACAGAAGAAATACAATTTAAGCTTTGACCAATGGAGGTCGACCTTGAAGGGAGCTAGATCACCAAAAGAACCAATCGAGGCTTACCTCTGGATACCTAGAAAGTACAGGCTATACAAACCCAGAGTCAGCAACCCAAAAGGTTGAGGTTTGTTGAGGACAAAAGAGCAGGGGTGATGGGACCCCTATTTGCCTGCTCTAAATAAATGATTTTGGGGATAACTGGTTGACATTACATTTCAGTCATTTAGCAGATGCTCTAATCCAGAGCGACTTTAAGATAGGGTTAGGGTTATGGGCAGTGGTGGAAAAAGTACCAAATTGTCATACTTGAGTAAAAGTAAAGATACCTAAATAGAAAATGATTCAAGTAAAAGTGAAAGTCACCCAGTGTGAGAGTGTAATTTGAAGGAATCAGGCGCAGGAGGGTAAATCACAGAATACAGAGTTTAATCCATAGGACACAGTTACGCTGGATAGCGACAAAAAATACAGGCACACGGGGAACAATATACCCCGGAAATACGAGGTACGGGTAGCTCAACCGAGCTACACTCAACTCACATAAAACAATCACCCACAAGGACAAGGGGGCCAGAGGGAACACTTATACGTACTAATGAGGGGATATGAACCAGGTGTGTGTAATGACAAGACAAGACAAATGGAATGATGAGATATGGAGCGGCAATGGCTAGTATGCCGGTGACGACGAACGCCGAAGCCTGCCCGAACAAGGAGGGGAGGCAGCTTCGGAGGAAGTCGTGATACCCAGTAAAAAACTACTTGAGTAAAGGTCTAAAAGTATTTGGGTTTTAAATATACATAAGTATTAAAAGTACATGTAATTGCTCGAATATACTTAAGTATCAAAAGTAAAAAATAATTTCATATTCCTTATATTAAAGAAACCAGACAGCACAATTTTCTTGATTTATTATTTTATGGATAGCCAGGGGCACATTCCAACACTCCAACATAATTTACAAATGAAGCATTTGTGTTCAGTGAGTCCACCAGATCAGAGGCAAAATTCTGTGCTGCTAAGCGCATTCGAAATGTAATGAGTACCTTTAGGTGTCAGGCATACCCGCGGGAAGTAGGGGTGCTGAGGGTGCTGCTGCAACCCCTGAAAAATCGGAATAATGATAAATAAATAATAATAATAATAATGGAGAAAATATATATACAATACCAGTCAAAAGTTTGGACACACCTACTCATTCTACATTGATTAATAATAGTGAAGACATCAAAACAATAAAGTAATACATATGGAATCATGTAGTAACCAAAAAAGTGTTACACAAATCAAAATATATTTGAGATTTGAGATTCCTCAAAGTAGCCACCCTTTGCCTTGATGACAGCTTTGCACACTCTTGGCATTCTCTCAACCAGCTTCATGAGGTAGTCACCTGGAATGCATTTCAATTAACAGGTGTGCCTTCTTAACAGTTAATTTGTGGAATTTCTTTCCTTCTTAATGCGTTTCAGACAATCAGTTGTGTTGTGACAAGTTGGGGGGGGGGGGGGGGGGGGGTATACAGAAGGTAGCCCTATTTGGTAAAAGACCAAGTCCATAGTATGGCAAGAACAGCTCAAATAACCAGAGAAACAACAGTCCATCATTAGTTTAAGATGTAAAGGTCGGTCAATACGGAACATTTCAAAAACTTTTGAAGTTTCTTCAAGTGCAGTCCCAAAAACCATCAGGCGCTATGATGAAACTGGCTCTCATGAGGACCGCCACAGGAATGGAAGACCCAGAGTTACCTCTGCTGCAGAGGATAAGTTCATTAGACTTACCAGCCTCAAAAATTGCAGCCCAAATAAATGCTTCACGGAGTTCAAGTAACAGACACATCTCAACATCAACTGTTCAGAGGAAACTGTGTGAATCAGGCCTTCATGGTCGAATTGCTGCAAAGAAACCACTACTAAAGGACACCAATAAGAAGAAGAGACTTGCTTGGGCCAAGAAACACGAGCAATGGACATTAGACCGGTGGAAATGTTTCCTTTGGTCTGGAGTCCAAATTGGAGATTTTTGGTTACAACAGCCGTGGCTTTGTGAGACGTGGTGCGGGTGAACGGATGATCTCCGCATGTGTATTTCACACCGTAAAGCATGGAGGAGGAGGTGTTCTGGTGTGGGGGTGCTTTGCTGGTGACACTGTCTGTGATTTATTTAGAATTCAAGGCACACTTAACCAGCATGGCTACCACAGCATTCTGCATTGATACGCCCTCCCATCTGGTTTGGCCTTAGTGGGACTATCATTTGTTTTTCAACAGGACAATGACCCAACACACCTCCAGGCTGTGTAAGGGTTATTTTACCAAGAAGGAGAGTGATGGAGTGTTGCATCAGATGACCTGGCCTCCAGAATCCCCCGACCTCAACCCAATTGAGATGGTTTGGGACGAGTCGGACCGCAGAGTGAAGAAAAAAGCAGCCAACAAGTGCTCAGTATATGTGGGAACTCCTTCAACACTGTTGGAAAAGCATTCCAGGTGAAGCTGGTTGAGAGAATGCCAAGAGTGTGCAAAGCTGTCATCAAGGCAAAGGGTGGCTATTTGAAGATTCTCAAACGTAAAATCTATTATATTTTGTTTAACACATTTTTGGTTACTACATGATTCTATATGTGTTATTTCATAGTTTTGATGTCTTCACTATTTTCTACAATGTAGAAAATAGTAAAAATAAAGAAAAACCCTGGAAAGAGTAGGTGTGTCCAAACTTTTGACTGGTACTGTAATTATTCAGACCTTTTACTCAGTACTTTGTTGAAGCACATTTGACAGCGATTACAGCCTTCGAGTCTTCTTGGGTATGACGCTACAAGCTTGTCACACCTGTATTTGAGGAGTTTCTCCCACTCTTTTCTGCAGATCCTCTCAAGCTCTGTCAGGTTGAATGGGGAGCGTCGCTGCACAGTTATTTTCAGTTCTCTCCAGAGATGTTCGAACGGGTTCAAGTCCAGGCTCTGGCTGGGCCACTCAAGGACATTCAGAGACTTGTGCCGAAGCCACTCCTGCGTTGTCTTGGCTGTGGGCTTAGGGTCGTTGTCCTGTTGGAAGGTGAACCTTCGCACCAGTCTGAGGTCCTGTTTGCTCTGGAGCAGGGTTTCATCAAGGATCTCTCTGTACTTTGCACCGTTCATCTTTCCCTCGATCCTGACTATTCTCCCAGTCCCTGCCTCTGAAAAGCATCCCCACAGTATGATGCTGCCACCACCATGCTTCACCATAGGGATGGTGCAAGGTTTCCTCCAGACGTGACGCTTGGCATTCAGGCCAAAGAGTTCAATCTTGGTTTCATCAGACCAGAGAATCTTGTTTCTCATGGTCTGAGAGTCCTTTAGGTGCCTTTTGGCAAACACCAAGCACGCTGTCATGTGCTTTTTACCAAGGACTGGCTTCCGTCGGCCACTCTACCGTAAAGGCCTGATTGGTGGAGTGCTGCAGAGATGGTTCTCCTTCTGGAAGGTTCTCCCATCTCCACAGAGGAACTCTGGAGCTCTGTCAGAGTGACCATCGGGTTCTTGGTCACCTCCCTGACCAAGGCCCTTCTCCCCCGATTGCTCAGTTTGGCCGGGCGGCCAGCTCTAGGAAGAGACTTGGTGGTTCCAAACTTCGCCCATTTAAGAATGATGGAGGCCATTGTGTTCTTGGGGACCTTCAATGCTTCAGAAATGTTTTGGTACCCTTCCCCAGATTTGTGCCTTGACACGATCCTGTCTCGGAGCTCTACGGCTTGGTTTTTGCTCTCAGATGCTCTGTCAACTGTGAGACCTTACATAGACAGGCGTGTGCCTTTCCATATCATGTCCAATCAATTAAATTTACCACAAGTGTACTCCAATCAAGTTGTAGAAACATCTCAAGGATGATCAATGGAAACAGGATGCACCTGAGCTCAATTACGAGACTCATAGTGAAGGGTCTGAATACTTATGTAAATAAGTTATTTTTGTTTTTTATTTTGAATACATTTGCAAAAAAATCTAAAAACCTGTTTTTGCTTTGTCATTATGGGGTATGGTTCGTAGGTTGATGAGGGGGGAAAACAATTTAATCCATTTTACAATAAGGCTTTAATGTAACAAAATGTGGAAAAGGTCAAGGGGTCTGAATACTTTCCGAATGCACTGTACATGCTTCAATTCTGTCATCTAGTGGCAAGATAAGGGCGATAAGGGTAGAGAAACTACATTTCAAACATCCCACTTTTGGTTTATCCAGGGCTTTGGCAAGGTCGCAGCTCCCATCACATCTCTGTTGAAGGGTGGGCCGTCCGTCTCCGCTGGTCTGCTGAGGCCGACAGGGCCTTCAGTAACCCGAGGGTTCTGTTCACTTCAGCCCCGGTACTGGGGACCACAGTGGTGCTGTATAATACTGTAGTGGTGTAATATTTGATACAATACTCCTGTGGTCACAGTGTATAATGAATGGTAGGTTCCCACTGGGAACATACATCAGTTCAACGTCTAGTTTTGATTTACATTTGGTTGAGTTGTCAACTACCCGACTTTCGGCTGTCGCAGATGCCTTCCCAAACTTTACTCCTTTTGCTTGTTCGACATTGCAGCCGACAGTGCAGGTGACTGCCGACAGACTGATCTACAAATCACCTTCCATCATAAATAACTACTCATTATTATTTGTAGATCGGACAGTTATTCACAATTTACCCATGATACATTACCGTTTTGATCCACTCGAACACGGTCCTTGACTTCCGTCTACAGTTGGTTGCTTTCGCCTTACCACTCAAAGACTCTTGTGGTCAATCAATCATCGCTGTCAACCATTGGCGTCCTCTACAGAGGAGGAACGCATCATGCCGCTACTGTCATCGGCCCCTGGGAGAGGGAGCTGGGCGCCATGCGGCTGGGATCCAGGGCGCTTCCTCAAGAAAAGTGGGTAAGAGTGTCTCAGGTGTGACTAGGTGCCTCATTAACCCAAAGGAAGTGATGCAATCCAGATGTATGGTGGTTTCCGGTGGCATGTGGGAAATGGAGTCTTGTTAGTTTGAGGAAAACAAGATGGACGCCTGACTCCTGGACTGCACCACCTCCTGTGGCTTTTTGTTTCTTTGATTGTTTGTTAGTTCTATTTTAAATTGCAAGGTTTGTGAATGTTCCTGGTCCAGTGAGAAAGGCCACTACTGTAAAGGTTAAATTGTAAACCATGCCCAATTATTTATTAAATGTTGAAACTGGGGTATACAGTGATCCCTCGCCACTTCGCGGTTCACTTATCGCGGATTCGCTATTTCGCGGATTTTCATAATGCATTTTTTTTTTTTTTTTGGTGCATTGTGCTCTGCATTCTGATTCGCTAAAAACTCACTCCCGCTTCTTGTATCAAAACATGCTACGAATTGTGCTATCATTTTGTCGTCTCGTGCAGTTATGTGTACGTACATAAAACAGCTTGGCAAATTTACATTAAGTTGGCCAAATTATCTTGTAATTTCGAACATCTTCTAAACCCATAATGTCGACGAAACGGCCTACACGTGAGTCACTGTATTTGTATACATGTAATAGTTGCTAATTGTAAAAAAAAAAAAAGTTTTCTATTTCGCGGATTTCACTTATCGCGGGTCATTTTCGGAACGTAACCCCCGCGATAAACGAGGGATTACTGTACTCTGCCTGCTCAACCCAGAACCAAAAGGACCTTTGACACACACATTTAGCTTTGGATAAAAGCGTCTGCTAAATGGCATATATATTTATATATACTGAAAAAATATATAAACGTAACATCTAAAGTGTTGGTCCCATGTTTCATGAGCTGAAATTAAAGATCTCAGACATTTTTCAATCGCACAAATAGCTTATTTCTCTCAAATTGTGTGTACAATTTTGTTTACATCCCTGTTAGTGAGCATTTCTGCTTTACCAAGATAATCCATCCACCTGACCGGTGTGGCATATCAAGAAGCTGATTAAACAGCATGATCATTACACAGGCGCACCTTGTGCTTGGGACAATAAAAGGCCACTCTAAAATGTGCAGTTTTGTCACACAACACAATGCCACAGATGTCTCAAGTTTTGAAGGAGCGTGCAATTGGCATGCTGACTGCAGGAATGTCCACCAGAGCTGTTGCCAGAGAATGTAATGTTAATTTCTCTACCATAAGCCGCCTCCAATGCCATTTTAAATCATTTGGCAGTACGTCTAACCGGCCTCACAACCGCAGACCACGTGTATCCACGCCAGGCCAGGAACTCCGGCTTCTTCACCTGCGGGATAGCTGATGAAACTGTGGGTTTGCACAACCAAAGAATTTCTGCACAAACTGTCAGAAACCGTCTCAGGGAAGCTCATCTGCATGCTCGTCATCCTTACCAGGGTCTTGACCTGACTGCAGTTCGGCGTCATAACTGACTTCAGTGGGTAAATGCTCACCTTCGATGGCCACTGACACGCTGGAGAAGTGTGCTTTTCATGGATGAATCCCGGTTTCAACTGTACGGGCAGATGGCAGACAGCAGTGTTTGGCGTTGTGTGGGTGAGCGGTTTGCTGATGTCAACATTGTGAACAGAGTGCCCCATGGTGGGGGTAGGGTTATGTTATAGGCAGGCATAAGCTACGGACAATGAACACAATTGCATTTTATCGATGGCAATTTGAATGCACAGAGATACTGTGATGAGATCCTGAGGCCCATTGTTGTGCCATTCATCCGCCTCCATCACCTCATGTTTCAGCATGATAATGCATGGCCCCTTGTCACACGGTTCTGTACACAATTCCTGGAAGCTGAAAATGTCCCAGTTCTTCCATGGCCTGCATACTCACCAGACATTTACATTTTACATTTTAGTCATTTAACAGACGCTCTTATCCAGAGTGACTTACAGTTAGTTTTTTTTTCATACTGGCCCCCCGTGGGAAACGAACCCACAACCCTGGCGTTGCAAGCGCCATGCTCTACCATCAGAGCTGCACAGGGCCCATCGAGCACATTTGGGATGCTCTGGATCAATGTGAATGGCAGCGTGTTCCAGTTCCCGCCAATATCCAGCAACTTCGCACAGCCATTGAAGAGGAGTGGGACAACATTCCACAGCCCACAATCAACAGCCTGATAAACTCTATGTGAAGGAGATGTGTCATGCTGTATGAGGCAAATGGTGGTCACACCAGATACTGACTCGTTTTCTAATCCACGCCCCTCCCTTTTTTTTTTTAAGGTATCTGTGACCAACAGATGCATGTCTGTATTCCCAGTCATGTGAAATCCATAGATTAGGGCCTAATGAATTATTTAAATTGACTGATTTCCTTATTTGAACTGTAACTCAGTAAAATCTTTGAAATTGTTGTTTATATTTTTGTTCAGTGTATTTTACCGTTCCAGTAGCAGCTGGGGGTGAGCAGCACAGACTAAAGGGAGATATGTTATTGACGTGTTATTGCTAGTGTTTCCCAGCATCACCAGAGCAGGCCTTCCTCCACAGAGGAACACTATTGGCTCCATGACCATCACCACCAAGAGATGATGTCATTCTCTATGGGCTTATCATCATATCTGACTCTACAGTCTCAGGTTCATTATTTGAATGAGAGAGAACATTTATAGTGCATCTAAATGTTAGTTCTATTTGGTGGAAGGGGTTTCTTGCAGGTTTGCTTCAGATCTATAGATATCATGTAACGGCCCATAGTGTTTAAATGACTGAGTGTGAGGAGGCTTGTGTTTATTATGGGAGCACTGGTTGCACTGTCTGTCTATAGTCTTTTCACTGTATATTTACTGTACAAGATGGAGACCACAGTGGTGCTGTACCATACTGTAGTGGGGTAATATTTGATACAATACTCCTGTGGTCACAGCGTATAATGAATGGTAGGTTCCCAATGGGCACAGACATCAGTTCAACGTCTAGTTTTCAATTACATTTGGTTGAGTTGCCAACTAACTGTGAATTCAATGTGAAATCAACAACAAATGTTACCATGTCATTGTTTTTAGGTTAAACGTTGGGTGAAAAAAAGACTAAATGCCCTTACGCTGATGACTTTTTGCAAATCCAATCAGATTTCCACGTTAATTCAACTTCATCACATAGATTTGTTTGGTTTAAATGACATGGAAACATTGATTCAACCAGTTTTTCCCAGTGGGTTGAGTGTTTGTACAGCAGTACTCACTGACGCATGTCATTGTCTTCGCCCTGAGCACCTGCAGTAGGTCCCAGCTGCAGCAGTGCACTCTGACTGAGGGAGGTTTTTGTGCGGCTCTAAATCACTGTGTGAACACAGGACCACTGTGGTGACTCTGACAGTAGTAAACTCCTGTATCCTCAGCCTGGACTTCACTGATGGTCAGAGTGAAGTCAACACCATTTCCTCTCCCACTGCCACTGAACCTGGTGGAAACTCCAGTATCCTTTTCTGATGTGAGATAGATCAGGAGTTTAGGAGCTTCTCCAGACCTCTGATGGTACCAGGCCAGGTAATACTGTGAGCCAGAGTACTGAGTAACTTTACTACTGGCGCTACAGTCAATAGAGACAGTTTGACCAGGCTGGACTGACTGAGCTGCAGACTGAGTCAATACATACTGACCCCAAGACCCTGCAGAGAAAAAAAAGGAACATTTGACATATAGGATGGTAAAATATTTGGAAGATTATAACCCTAATTCATCATTTACAACATGATGCTTGCATTCTGAAAATGTTCAAAATGTCTCTCACCTTGTGTGTAACAGATCAGAGTCCAGATGAAGATGGTGATCAAAGTCATGGTTGCCATGGGTTCTGTTTAAATGAAATACAGATCTCACATGAAGTGTTCAACATACAGGGCTATAAACACTCCCAGAGCACTGAAGCATGTGATGCCAATGCAAAGTGGCTCTCTATGGAAATGTTCCTCCTGGGCAAATCACTGCACTGTCATTAAGAAAAGTTCTGAAATCCAATTCTGTTGTCTGGAACTCATTACAAAAAATTTATTTATACTGACACGTTCCTTCGTTGCTGTATCAAGCTTTTTTTGATGATTAGTTAATACAATATGATTAGATATATCAACATAGTACACAGCAGTTTTCATACTGTTGAAAGTTCAATGGGGAACGGGGACCGTGAATGTCCAATCTCCTGGAGTTCCAGAGTGTACCAGTAGGGGGCCTCAGTTCCAAACAACATTCAGTGATCAGTTTCATGTCTCTGTTAACATTACCCTCTGTGTCTGTATGGAGGTTTTTGTACAGCGAGTCAATCAGACTCTATCACTGTGGTGGACTTTTGGTGGAGGGACCAAACTGAGTGTTGGTAGTAAGTATTCAATTCTCGATCTTGACCTCTGTTATCAAAATCCCAATTCATTTTCTTAACACTATTACAACTCCGTTAAATAGAAAGTAGAAAAGTTTATTTTTTGGGGGAGAATTTGTGTTGCATTTATTTTCCCTTAGAAGTAAATTGAGTTAAATTAAAATGCCTATCCAATATGTAATATATCAAACAATGTGCTTATACAGTTTGTATTGATTTCGAACAATAGGGTTATTGATGAAATCTGAGAGTGGTTTGGTAGTTCAGCGAGAGCAGTATCTCTATAGTTTCAAAGGTTTTTGTATGGCCGTTGCATGTGTTTGTATCACTGTGGTACACTTTTGGTGGAGGCACTAGACTGGATGTTGGAAGTAAGTTTTTTTTTATGCTTAGTTTTGCTATCTATTTGCTATATTGCTTTCTTATTTTGAATGTTATTAAATATTTGCTATATTTTGCTAAGTGTTGCTATCTTACAAAGTCCTGCTGTTCATATGAATACACTTTGGTTTCAACTTATTATAGAATATCTCGTAAATTACAGTATAACTTTATTCATTTTCTTTTAAATTAAAGCTGCAATAGGCTATGTAACTTATTCTGAGACCCGACCAAATTCACATAGAAATACAGTTAAAATCTTTCGTTGTCATTGAAAGCAAGTCTATAAAGCGGTAGATTGTTCTATGTGTGCTATTTCTATGCTTCCCATTCTTAAGTTTAATTTTTTGTTTTACTTTAGGTTTTGCACACCAGATCAAACAGCTAAAAATACAATATTTTTGGTTATGGAAAATATATTTCACAGCGGTTTAGATGGTACAATGATTCTCTACTACACCAGGGCTCACCAACCCTGTTCCTGGAGAGCTACCCTCCTGTAGGTTTTCACTCCAACCCCAGTTGTAATTAACCTGATTCAGTTTATCAACCAGCTAATTATCAGAATCAGGTGCGCTAGATTAGGGTTGGAGTGAAAACCTACAGGACAGTAGCTCTCCAGGAACAAGGTTGAGAGCCCTACTCTTACATTATCCTTTCTTGTTTTGTCACATAAACTGAAGTTAGGTGAACTATTAGAATTTTAGCAACCAGTAAATGGCGTAGTGATTTCTGCATAGTGCATCTTTAAATGTAATATTATTGTTAGATGGTTACAGTCAACTGGAATTTACTTCCTCAGCACTTATTTTAAACAGATCATTTAAGAATTGGTCATACATTCTGTGGAATTTTCTTTAAAATAATAATAATGAATAATGAAATGCAGTTTGATTCCTAGGATTTTATCACATTACAAAAAGGGAGAAGTATGTGGAAATATTTGTCATTTTAAAAAGAATTTTTTTTGAAGATAGTTGAATGTATTTTCAGTCATCTCATGTAGTTATAATATGCTTCAGTAGCTACTCATAGGGAAGTGAAATAGTGACACAAAGACTGAGAAACTGTGTTTTTGAGGGACAGAAACCTACTGAAAAAACAACTTAATTTACAGCTAAGATGTAAAACTGCTGCGTCACTATTGTTGCATCAGTCTGGTGATTGATTGATAGCTCCCCTCTCTCTAATTTCCCACCTGTCTCCTAGGTGATGTTCCTCCCACCCTGACGGTCCTGCCCCCCTCCAGTGTGGAGCTACGACAGGGGAAGGCCACTCTCATGTGCCTGGCCAACAAGGGCTTCCCCTCAGACTGGAAGCTGAGCTGGAAGGTGGATAGGAGCAGTAGCAGCACCTGGGAGGTGACCGGGAGCCCTGGGGTCCTGGAGAAGGACGGCCACTACAGCTGGAGCAGCACCCTGACCCTTCCTGTCGACCAATGGAGGAAGGTCAGCTCTGTGACCTGTGAGGCCACCCAGGGCTCCCAGTCTCCACTCTCTGAGACACTGAGGAGAGACCAGTGTTCTGACGAATGAGCTCCTTCTCTGACTCCACAGTTTTACTCTGTTCTGCACTCAGCGCCTCTTCGTCTTACTGATCCAGCACTACTAGTACCACAGGAGGTTGGTGGCACCTTCATTGGGGAGGACGGCTCATAGTTATGGCTGGAACGGAACAAATTGAATATTATCAAACTCAAACACATGGTTTCCATGTGTTTCATACCATTCCATTCACTCCATTCCAGACATTATTATGAGCCGTCTTCCCCTCAGCAGCCTCCTATGACTAGCACACTTTTGCTGGGCTAGACCCTGTGTGGGAATCCTTACTCTAGAATATCTCTCTGATTCTGATGTCATAGATCTTCTTGGCTTTCATATCACCTGTGATGTGCTTTAGTGCTGTAATGCTGTTGGTTCTGACATGTTGAAATAATAAAGATGTTTAATCTTTAAAATTGTTTGCCTGGATATCATTATTTAATAAGTTTTACCATTAGACATTGAGATCTTTACTATTCGTTTAGTTTTCATAAGGAATGAAGAGCTCTGGCATGGAAAATGATTTCTAATACATTTCAGTGAATTAACCTCGCTCAGTGAATGCTTGGCTGATTGGGACACATTTGGTACCAGTCAAAAGGATATCTACAGCACAGGAGGTTGGTGGCACCTTAATCGGGGAGGACTGGCTCATAGTAATGACTGGAACGGAATCAATGGAATGGTATTGAACTCAAACACATGGTTTCTATGTGTTTGATACCATTCCATTCACTCCATTCTTGTGATTATTATGAGCCGTCTTCCCCTCAGCAGCCTCATGTGATCTACAGTGATACTAATACTGAAGCCATGTGCTATAAACCCGCTGGTCTTCATGATGTTACCAATACTGAAGCCATGTGCTATAAACCCGCTGGTCTTCATGATGTTACTAATACTGAAGCCATGTGCTATAAATCCGCTGGTCTTCATGATATTACTAATACTGAAGCCATGTGCTATAAACTCACTGGTCTTCATGATGTTACCAATACTGAAGCCATATGCTATAAACCCACTGGTCTTCATGATGTTACTAATACTGAAGTCATGTGCTATAAACTCACTGGTCTTCATGATGTTACTAATACTGAAGCCATGTGCTATAAACCCGCTGGTCTTCATGATGTTACTAATACTGAAGCCATGTGCTCTAAACTCACTGGAACTCTCTGGGGACAGGTGAACATCTGGCCACGTTGCTGTTCTATTCTGGGAGCGTGGCAGTTCCCTGCCCATGCAAATCTGAGTTTCAACCCCACCACAGCTTACAATCTCACAGCCTCAAATCCTCTGGGACTGGGGCAGCTGTGTGTTTCACTAGAGAACTGAACATGGGCTGGGGAAGCAGATATTACACTGGACTTTGCATCATGTTCAAATGGGGGACTTCACTCTATTTTTATGGCCTTGTATACAGCATGTAAACTAAATGTATTCGTGACAGATATGTACAGTGGCTTGCGAAAGTATTCACCCCCATTGGCATTTTCCCTATTTTGTTGCCTTACAACCTGGAAATAAAATTGATTTTTGGAGGGTTTGTATCATTCGATTTACACAACATGCCTACCACTTTGAAGATGCAAAATATTTTTTTTTGTGAAACAAACAAGAAATAACACAAAAAAAACATAACTTGAGCGTGCATAACTATTCACCCCCCCCCCCCCCAAGACATTTAAATGTTTCCCCTTAAACCACTCAAGTGTTTATTTAGCAGTATGCTTAGGGTCATTGTCCTGCTGGAAGGTGAACCTCTGTCCCAGTCTCAAATCTCTGGAAGACTGAAACAGGTTTCCCTCAAGAATATCCCTGTATTTAGCGCCATCCATCATTCCTTCAATTCCTACCAGTTTCCCAGTCCCTGCCAATGAAAAACATCCCCACAGCATGATGCTGCCACCACAATGCTTCACTGTGGGGATGGTGTTCTCGGGTGATGAGAGGTGTTGGGTTTGCACCAGACATAGCGTTTTCCTTGATGGCCAAAAAGCTCAATTTTAGTCTCATCTGACCAGAGTACCTTCTTCCATATGTTTGGGGAGTCTCCCACATGCCTTTTGGCGAACACCAAACGTGTTAGCTTATTTTCTTCTTTAAGCAATGGCTTTTTTCTGGCCACTCTGCCGTAAAACCCAGCTCTGTGGAGTGTAAGGCTTAAAGTGGTCCAATGGACGGATACTCCAATCTTAACTGTGGAGCTTTGCAGCGCCTTCAGATTAATGTTGCCTCTCAGATTAATGCCCTCCTTGCCTGGCCCGTGAGTTTTGGTTGTTGGTCCTTTCTTGGCAGGTTTGTTGTGGTGCCATTTCCTTTCCATTTTTTCATAATGGATTTAATGGTGCTCTGTGGGATGTTCAAAGTTTTGGATATTTCTTTATAGCCCAACCCTGATCTGTACTTCTCCACAACTTTGTCCCTGACCTGTTTGGAGAGGTCCTTGGTCTTCATGGTGCCGCTTGCTTGGTGTTGCCCCTTGCTTAGTGGTGTTGCAGACTCTGTGGCCTTTCAGAACAGGTGTATATATACTGAGATCATGTGACAGATCATGTGACACTTAGATTGCACACAGTGGGACTTTATTTAACTAATTATGAGACATCTGAAGGTAATTGGTTGCACCAGATCTTATTTAGGGGCTTCATAGCAAAGGGGGTGAATACATATGCACGCACCACTTTTCCATTATACATTTTTTAGAATTTTTTGAAACAAGTTATTATTTTAATTTCACTTCACCAATTTGGACTATTTTGTGTATGTCCATTACATGAAATCCAAATAAAAATCCATTTAAAATTACAGGTTGTAATGCAACAAAATAGGGAAAACACCAAGGGGGGTGATTACTTTTGCAAGGCACTGATGATATCAAAGTAGTATTTCTTGAATGGAATCAATATGACTGTATTCACTCTTTCGGGGTTGGAGGGGTATAGAAGTTGAGTAGGTGATGAATAGTTGGGAAGTTGGGTTTGGACAGGGTCAACATTCATGCTATTGTGTACTGAAATGGGTGCTTCTTACAATATGAAGATAAATCAAAACGTTGAAAAAATTCGAAACCTATTCTGAATTTTGTTCAACAAATCCTTCAAAATAAAGCATTTTCTACACCTCTGTACCCTCTGTACCACATGGGCACCGTGGCCAGGCACAGGATGTCGGAGGATGCCAAGTTCAGCATGAGGCACAGGGTGAAGTTGGGGCGTCGAGACGAGCGGCGCAGGATGACCACCAGGACAGCTACAGTGGGGAGAACAAGTATTTGATACACTGCCGATTTTGCAGGTTTTCCTACTTACAAAGCATGTAGAGGTCTGTAATTTTTATCATAGGTACACTTCAACTGTGAGAGGCGGAATCTAAAACAAAAATCCAGAAAATCACATTGTATGATTTTTAAGTAATTAATTTGCATTTTATTGCATGACATAAGTATTTGATCACCTACCAACCAGTAAGAATTCCGGCTCTCACACACCTGTTAGTTTTTCTTTAAGAAGCCCTCCTGTTCTCCACTCATTACCTGTATTAACTGCACCTGTTTGAACTCGTTACCTGTATAAAAGACACCTGTCCACACACTCAGTCAAACAGACTCCAACCTCTCCACAATGGCCAAGACCAGAGAGCTGTGTAAGGACATCAGGGATACAATTGTAGACCTGCACAAGGCTGGGATGGGCTACAGGACAATAGGCAAGCAGCTTGGTGAGAAGGCAACAACTGTTGGCGCAATTATTAGAAAATGGAAGAAATTCAAGATGACGGTCAATCACCCTCGGTCTGGGGCTCCATGCAAGATCTCACCTCTTGGGGCATCAATGATCATGAGAAAGGTGAGGGATCAGCCCAGAACTACACGGCAGGACCTGGTCAATGACCTGAAGAGAGCTGGGACCACAGTCTCAAAGAAAACCATTAGTAGCACACTACGCCGTCATGGATAAAAATCCTGCAGCGCACGCAAGGTCCCCCTGCTCAAGCCAGCGCATGTCCAGGCCCGTCTGCAGTTTGCCAATGACCATCTGGATGATCCAGAGGAGGAATGGGAGAAGGTCATGTGGTCTGATGAGACAAAAATATAGCTTTTTGGTCTAAACTCCACTCGCCGTGTTTGGAGGAAGAAGAAGGATGAGTACAACCCCAAGAACACCATCCCAACCGTGAAGCATGGAGGTGGAAACATCATTCCTTGGGGATGCTTTTCTGCAAAGTTGACAGGACGACTGCACCGTATTGAGGGGAGGATGGATGGGGCCATGTATCGCAAGATCTTGGCCAACAACCTCCTTCCCTCAGTAAGAGCATTGAAGATGGGTCAAGGCTGGGTCTTCCAGCATGACAACGACCCGAAACACACAGCCAGGGCAACTGGCTGTGTGCATCTCAAGGTCCTGGAGTGGCCTAGCCAGTCTCCAGACCTGAACCCAATAGAAAATCTTTGGAGGGAGCTGAAAGTCCGTATTGCCCAGCGACAACCCCGAAACCTGAAGGATCTGGAGAAGGTCTGTATGGAGGAGTAGGCCAAAATCCCTGCTGCAGTGTGTGCAAACCTGGTCAAGACCTACAGGAAACGTATGATCTCTGTAATTGCAAACAAAGGTTTCTGTACCAAATATTAAGTTCTGCTTTTCTGATGTATCAAATACTTATGTGATGCAATAAAATGCAAATTAATTACTTAAAAATCATACAATGTGATTTTCTGGATTTTTGTTATAGATTCCGTCTCTCACAGTTGAAGTGTACCTATGATAAAAATTACAGACCTCTACATGCTTTGTAAGTAGGAAAACCTGCAAAATCGGCAGTGTATCAAATACTTGTTCTCCCCACTGTATGTTACCAGGGAGGCCCAGCGCACAGCATAGCCCCAGGACGATGCTCGAAATCAGGCGGCCCGAATCCGGGGAGGTGGAGTCCAAGCTAGAGGAGTTGGAGGAGTTGAGGTTCTCCATGGTCGGTGAAAGAATAAGAGA